TTCCCTTAGTCTCCTCAGAATGCTGAACTGCAGACTAGTTTTAACACTGTACCCAGTGATAACATCGACACGTTGTGAAACACTTATCTCAACCACCAACAGTTTGCCCTACACCACTTTTGTCATCACATTTAGAAATAGATTTATGGTGTTTGTGATAAAAACGGTTCTTAAGAAAGCAATATTAACAACTATTTTCTGTTCCTGCTAATCCTAAAAGAATCCTAAAAGAAAATCTACCAAGCAAATTATATTCTCTGTACAACAGTGTATTTTCCCTTATTTCAGAGATCTCTGTTTTTAAAAAGAAGTTTGGTATAACACCTTCGGTCTATGTGTGTTGGTGTTCAGATTTTCACAGCAAAGTCTTGGTGATTTGTGTGTAAATTTATACAAGCATATATATGCACACTGACCAACACGTTTAGAAAGACAAAGTGCAAGCAGAACACAAAGGCAACACTCCAGGGCTGTGGGAGCCCTAACTTCAGGATTTTCTAATTTAAAATGTGGTTTTGCATATAACTCCTTAAAACAACCATTCCTAATTTGTGCAGTCAGCCTGCACAGTTCCGAGCCACAAACTGCTGCATTTGCACAGTGACACTTGTGGCTCCACGGGCAGGGAAGCAGCCAGCAGCAGTGCCAGCCCAGTGCTGACCGCGCAGCAATACGCGTTTGTTCTCACCAACTGCTACTCTTATACCTCCTTCTGTGTATGCACATAGATCCAGAGTCACATGCAAGAAATGTGAGAGAAAACCTGTCCATGATTAACTTCAAAGTGGCCACAGGCAACTCATTCCTTCCTTTATTCCATATTCTTCTGCAAGCAGTCATGTGAAAAGGAAAAAGTGGCCATATTTCTTAATGAAGCAGTTGTAGGAAGACAATAACCTCAGCACATCAGCCAGGAAAATTATATTACACCATGTTCAGAGACTTTTTAAGATCTAAAACAGAGGCAAAGTTAATTTGGTTAAGTACAATTTGAAAGTGATTGCTTGAAGTTTGATTTATATTAGTTGGTTAGACCACTGAAGACAAATGTGCACTTTTGGAGCAGAGGAAATAAAAAATGTTAACTGTCCCTCTCAGTCCATTAGAACTTGTGTTCATAGTCCCCACCAGTTCATTACTCAGTTTCACGTGTGGGCCATCATGGCTACGAGCAACCCTATGCTACTAATGTCTTAGAACATACCATGACTTCTCTTGGACAGCAATGATTCTGCAGAAAGAATCCACATGAAAAATGCTGACCAAACTCAACTGCCTATAAAAAATACCAGACTCTGCCATCAACTTGCACTACTTCAGTGCTTTTAAACTCTGCTCTGCAGCATTTCGTTTCTGCAGAAAGAATCCACATGAAAAATTTCGATCTGCAGTCAACACCTTACTCAATAATGTGACTCCTCGGAAGTGTAATGGCAATGCCTTCCTAGCCCCATTGTCTCCCTCTGCCACAGAACACCACGTACAAAAAGCTCACTTCACAGGTCAGGCAATGATGCCACAATGATGCCCCAGTCTTCAGCTACAGATGAGGATGTATTCTAAGTCCAATACTGCCTTTTTAGTCTGAAACATTATCCTTGCCATTAGCAATTTTCATTTCCAAACCCTGTTTTTGACACAGTCACCAGAAAATTGAACTACAGGAAAACTGATCCAGAGATTAATTACATAATTCTGAAAAATTCATTACATTCAGGCTTTGCAGAGCTAATGAGATACACACATAGCTAAATAAAGCTGAAGACTACACACAACTAAGATAGCACAGTGGTAGATTTATGCACTGCCATAGAAGAATGGTGTTAACTGTTGGTAAGGTTTGCAGGACAGTAATAACTGGTCTGCTGAGTCCCAGAGTAAGCAGACTGAACTGATTTGCATGTGAGAACAGATGCAGCCCCACTACATTTTCTTCCATCGTTCTTTATTATGTTCCACTTAAAATCTAAAAGGTCTTTGCTCTTGCAAAAGCCCTCTTCCAATTTTTAGCCTCCTAGAGTACAGCTTTCGGATTGCAGTTTGAGAAGTCTTAACATTTTTCATCCCCACTCATTTTATTCTAATGGAGTTCAGAGTTGCCCTCTCTGGGCAAAAATTCCTCATGGACTTACTTACTGTGTCTAACTTCTGAGATTACCAATTTGTGAGTCACTTTGTCTACTCTTTCCATCAGCCCTTTTGCTCTCAAGCATATGTAACACTTGGCAAATGCTTTATCTTTGCAAAGGGAGTAACAGTGCTCAGAAGTGCTCAAGTATGATATTTATGCAAAAGAGTGTATTGAGCTTTATAACTATGCTATATGATAACCAATATCCATAAATAATTACATCATTTTTGAGAAGGCCATTACACAAAAAACAGTAACATGTTTAAACAGGCAGAAATGAGCCTCTCTGTACCATACTTGCTATGTTGCCCTGACCTTTATTCATGTGACAAATCATTAAATAACGAAAGGGAAGGAGATTACCCTTACCTTAATCGACCCTTAATTAGCTTCCATTTTTCCAAGGGTCACACAGCATGTGAAATCCCTGAAAACAATTTCATTTTTAGAAGAATTACATGTAGTCCCACTGGTTTGACACTGGCTTAACTGAGATGAGAATTTGATCTATTTGAGCAATTTGTTGAGACATGCTGTGTGAGAGAAGAAACACTCATCAAGATGAAACTTTATCAGGTTGTTTGCTGCTCTCCAGCTGGTGGCCAGCCCACAAACAAGCCCACCAAGAAGGTAACTGGTACCATCTAGTAGCTGCCTTTGGCACGTTCCACACTGCGACAGACCAGCCAGCTCAAAGCTTCTGCTTGGCACAGCTGGACTTGCAGGGGTACATTTGAGGAGTAACAGAGCGCAGACTGTCGTGGTCAGAGTGGAGGTAAGGAACATGCCCTGAAGTGGGGACTCAGCAACCTAAGCTCCCTGTGAACACTCCTGTTACCTTGTAATTATCCACAGTGCTCCAAAGCTGTGAGGAAGAAAACAGCCCTGCAGCATCACAGAAGGGAGGACTGGAAGCAGGACTTAATTTCCAGTAAAGAGAGTTCGTTCATCAAATTCCTTTTCTCCCTACTCCAAGCTGCCTTGTCTTTTCCTACCGTATTTAATCTTCTCTAGACCTGACCTTATAGCAACCTCCCAAAAACCAGGTTTTAGATAACGACACCGACACACAACACCTACCACTACAATCCCAAAATCAGGTACTACCAAGCCGTTTATTCCACCATGGCAATTTCCAGCTTTTTTTACTTTGTGGCTTCCATGTTTTCCTCCTCTCACCCCCAAGTCTCACAAGCCCCTGTCTCTTCAAAACTCCCCTGTAATGTCTAAACTTTTGGCCATTTCTGTCTCCTTGGTCTGCTGAAGAAATCAGAAGAGGCTGTCAGCTAAAACTTTGTGCTGCCTCTCCATCTTTTCTCCTTACTCTTTGGGAACTACTGGTTACAAGCACAATCAGCATTATGATGGAATGGCTAAATGACAAGGGATATAAGTGCCAGTAATTTGGGATATCTTCTGGTTCTTTAATTAACTTTCTGTAAGATTTCCGACAAGAAGCATTTTCTGAACCGTGTTTTTTTAGCAAATGGAATATATTTAAGGATTGGCTACATCTGTATTTGCTCTTGAACAGTTTCTAAAATTCTATTTTTTTAAAAAAATAGAATTGCACTTTTGGAATTGCTCAAGTATTTCCTTCCTTTAACAAAGCAACAAAACCCATCGTAATAGCACTGTCTGACAGATTCAAGTGAGACTCTGAAGATTCAGGCTTGCCACAAGAGTAAAATTAAACACAGCCTGCTCTCAGAGA